CTCAGGATTAGTGCATCTCTGGGAATGGGCAACCTGCCCTGTGTTGATTGGTCAGCTGCAGCTACAGAAAGGGGCCCTCCCAGGGCAGTGCTATGCCCTGCATTCCACTGTTATCGTAAAGCACATCCAGAGCCTGCCTGCTGACTTCTGATTGGTTCCTTAACACATGGAGGGTATCTGGGGGTTGCTTCCTAGTGGTTAGGGCAAAGTCGGGGGCTCAGCACATGTTGTTGAGTTAGGGGCCTACCTCTTGCTGGTTCTTTTCTACAGCCTGTCAGGGCTGCCAAAGCAGGGGGCTGGGCGAGGGGCTGGGTTCTTCAACTGTTTTCTTGATGTTATCTACCATCTCTAATTCCTACACTCTTTCTGACATTTCTTCTGAAAAGATGACCCATGGAGGAAGAGGTGTGAGCATTCAACAGTCTTTTTTTTTGGGGGGGGGGGGTGACAGGGTTTCTCTGTGTAGCTTTGGAGGCTGTCCTGGAATTCACTCTGTAGATCAGGCTGGCCTCGAACTCAGAGAGACCAGCCTGCCTCTACCTCCCAAGTGCCTGGCTTCAACAGTCTTTTATTCTCTGTAATTGGCTAACAAGGGTTAGCCTTGTCTGGTTGTTTTGGTTTTCAAAAACAAAATTTAGCGTATTTATTTTATGTATGTGAGTGCTTTGATTGTATGTTGAGCCATCTCTCCAGCCCCCAGATGTTCTTCTGAATAAGATCTCACTAGGCACACATGGTAACACATCTGTGATCCCAATACTAAAGAATCTAAAGAAGGCTGGGCACAGTGACAATCCTGGCACTGTGTTACAACTTGGACCTCCTCTTCAACTTGTTGTTGCTATTGTTTGGGGTGTTGTTTGTGGATTTCTTTGTTTATGAGATAGGGTCTCACTGAGTATCTCTGGCGAGACTGGAACTTTATGTAAAGCAGGATGGCATTTTCACGAGATCATGCTTCTACCTCCTAAATATTGGGATTAAAGATTAAACATCCCTGGCTTGTTTTAGTTCTTTGTTTTGGTTTTTTTTGTTTGTTTTTTTGTTTTGTTTTTCGAGGCAGGGTTTCAGTGTATTGCTTTGGAGCCTGTCCTGAAACTGGCTTGGTAGACCAGGCTGGCCTTGAACTCATAGAGATCCACCTGCCCCTGCCTCCCATGTGCCAACAACGTCAGGCTTTTGTTTTGTTTTTAAGATTTGTTTATTATATATAAAGTGTTCTGCCTGCATGTATGCCTTCACATGAGAAGAGGGTACCAGATCTCATTATTATAGATGTTCTTGAGCCATGTGGTTACTGGGAATTGAACTCAGGACCTATGGAAAAGCAGTCAGTGCTCTCAACCTCTGAGCCATCTCTCCAGCACTTGTCTCAGTTCTTTGAGACAGGATCTCATGTGGTACAAGCTAGTATTGAATTCTGTATATAGCTGAAGATGACCTTGAACTCCTGACCTTCCTGCTTCCACCTTCCAGTGTTGGATGACAAGTGCACTGACACAGATGGTTTACGTGGTTCTAGGGACCAAGCCTATGGCTTTGTGCATGCTAGGTAAGCAATCACCTACTAAGTGACTTCCAAGCCCTCTTTCTCAGTTTTAATTTAATTTTCAAAAGATTTATTTTATTATCTATTTACATGTATGTGTGTATCTGTATGAGTACAAGTGCCAGCAAAAGACGACATCCAAGTTGAGTTATAGATAATTTTGAGCATCCATGTGAACTCTGGTCTTCTGTAAGAGTTCAACTTCTGGGTCATCTCTCCATCCTCCATCTTTCTCAGGTTCTAAATGTCTTCTAACAGTCTACTTTGCTTACAGTGACACATACAAACTCTTAGTTTACCTCAAAATATGCTGCATGTAAAGTCTACAGTTGATTATGACTCAATAAACATCTCATGAATGGTGAATGTCTAGAGATCTAAGTTCTACTTTACCGTCTGTCTCCAAGCCCATCCTCCAAATGATCACCAGAAAGAGAGGCTGTACCTTCGCCAGTGTAGCTAGCTGTTCCATCCTGCAGGAATCTCCTTAAGTTAGAAGGTCAATAATTCAAAGTAACTACAGGAAGTCCCTGAAATTGACCAGATTCACTAGGCCCCTCGCTGCCAGAGTAAATAATACAGGTTACTGAGAGTCATTTTCAGAAAATCCAATCTTCAAAGAAGACTCTGAGACCTGCCCAGCTACCTGGAAAAGGTTTAGACCAACTGAGTCACCTGGAAAGGATACTCTCCAACCTATTGAGCTGCCTGTAGGCTGTGCAGTGTGCTCCAGCTTTCTAGCTTTTGTGAGCTGTCACTTTAAGGGGTGGGTTTTGGTGATGCAGTTGTTTTTGAGTCATTTCTGCTTCTGTAAGTAGCCTCTCACCCATATTTCTGTAAGTAACCCCAATAAAACTCCTGATTCATGCAGGTGGGCTCCCTATCTAAGGTGAACAAATGTGTTTATGTCTCCCTAGAAAAAGTCTTGTCACACAACAGCACCTACCACGGAAGCATGAGGCCCTGAGTTCAGATCCCCAAATACCAGGTAAATGCCAGGTAGGCACTGTTGCTCTCCTGGAATTTCAGCTTTAGATGGTGGAGACAGAGGATCCCCAGCGGAAGACTAATCACAGTGGTGAGCTTTGGATTTATTGAGTGGTCTGTCTCATTGAATAAGAAGGAAGAGTCACAGAGGAGTATTACCCACATCAGCTTCCCGCCTTTACATGCACAAGCAACCAGGTACACATGCACCCACATGAAAACCCTTTACAAACATGTATGTACATATAGGTGCACCACACACATAAAAATAGAAAAATAAATATTCATCAGTGACTACATCAGAAACCATGTTTTCTTCCATTTCTATCTCTCACACAACCTATAGGACCCACCCAGTTCTCTTTCTGACCTCCACACCACGTCTTCATTCTGTTTCCATGGTGCAGAGAGCTCCTTGTTGCTTGGCAGGAGGAACTTGTTCCTTGCCAAGTTCAGGATGTCTGTGCCAGCTTCCCAGAGTGCTCTGCTTCCCCAGGCATAAAAGCACAGCTCATCACCCCCTCAGACAGGCTCCCCTGACTCAGCATTTTCACACACTTCTTCTGTTTGTTTCCTTATCTCATACGATAGATCCAAAATCATTTTTCTGCCATTGTTGATTTATTGTCACTCCATTTTCAGTGGTTGACTCCAGTCTCCCAAGAGCAGTACTAAGTCTCTTCCTGGTTCATAGCATGCACTTAAGGGAAGTAGAATGGATAGGAAACCTCACTGCACCAGCGCTAGTGGGATTCATGTTCACACCTTGATACTTGTGGGATTTACCTGTTCACTAAACCTGAAGGTCCACAATTAGAGTGTTTCCTGAATTAGGCTATTACAACAGATGTCATCCCCCTAGGTAGTAGCCCCACATAGTGGCACCAATCTGTCATAACCCATCTTTGTGAGGCTTCAGTTGGAGCCAGCCCACTTGCCTGGTTCGTACCTGAGAAGAGTATGAATTGAGAAATGGCAGGAAAAGACACTAAGAAAAGGAGAGAGACGCAGGATAGAGTTGGGAGAGCAATCCAGTGAATGCCCTGACTGGATGCCCTAAGTTCATCATTCAACATTCTTAAGTACCCCAACCAATAGGGGCGCATGGCAAAAGACTTATCATGTATAAGGAACAAACAGACTTTCTTTCCTTAATCCTCCAGACATTTGGTAACCACACCTTAGACTCAATATCCTGTTATTTGGCCTTGAGGGTCAAGAGTAACCACACCTCAGACCAAGTCTGTTACTATTTAGTAAGGTATCCTCTACCAAGATCAAAACCTCCTACTGTAACCATGCCTTAGACCTTTAGGTCTTATGACTTACTAAGGACAGTTTTGAACTCTCTGACTTTGAGCCAAAATGAAGCAGAGCCATCTTTATGGGCCCCGACAAACAGAGTCATTCTTTTCTTTTTTATATTTATTTATTTGTATTTCATGCACATTGTTTTGCCCACATGTACATGTGTGAGGGTGTCGAATCCCCTGGAATAGGAGTTACAGATAGTTATGAGCTGCCACATGGGTGCTGGGAATTGAACCCTGTTCCTCTGGAAGGGCAGCGATGCTCTTAAAAACCAAGCCATCTCTCCAGGCCCACATAATCATCCTTACTGCCCACTGGAAGCACTGAAAAATATGGAGCTTGCTAAAAAGATGGCTCTGTGCAGACAGGAGGATGCAGGGTTCAGGCCCATAGCACTTGTGTAAATTATGAAGAATTTGGATCCCTGGCATTCCTTGGGTGGGAGGCATAGCAACTACCTGTTATTGGGGCACTTGGGAGGTGGACACAGAAGCTTCTGGTAAGCTAGACTAGTGTGAATTGGTGAGCTCTAACATCGGAGCCCCAGTAAATAAAGCCAAGAACTAAGGCAGACAGTGTGTACGCTGGACCTCGTGGAGCTCACGGGCTCACATATATGCACATTCCCTTTATACGTACGTGTATATCGCTAAGGATGTAGCTTAGTTTGCAGAGTGATTGCCTAGCATACATGAAAACTCTGGTTTACGATACCTAGTACTGCTTAAAACCCGGTGTAGTGATATCCAAGTTCAAGGTGAATCTCAGTGTAAGAACAGCTGCAGCTAAAAAAAGAAAAAAAGAAAAAAAAAAGGGGGGGGGTTGTTGTCAATTTCCTCTAAAAAGTAAGCCCAAACAAAAGCAGTCAGAGTCTGCCATCCCAGAACTCTGCTGGCTGAGATGGGAAGACTGAGACTTTGAGGTCAACCTGACCTGGTATACAAAAAGAAGAAAAAGTGCTGCTTTTTGTCTTTCCAGAGTTTGTTATGGGGCATGCAGGGAAAGGATGGCGATGCCCGTTTTGCAGATGAGGACGCTACAGCCTGGAGAGAATGCTCATGCAGGATTATCCACCTCCTTCTTTTACAAATTCTCACCTGCCTAGGAGCAGCAGTCTGGCCTCAATTCCCTCCTCCTAGAGGAGCGCTCAGGATTAGGCCACACCCAGATCTCGCGAGGTCTGAGAAGTGGAAAAAATGGCGCCGATGTGATCGAGATCTCGCGTCGCCGAGGAAGTCGCCCCTGCAGGAGCCGGAGCCACCGAAGGCACGAGAACCAGAGGTCGAACTGAATGGAGGATGGTGAGCGCTGCACCGAGCACGCGGGCGCGGAGGAGCAGAAGGGATTAACAGGGAGCGGTCTTGCAGGGCGCACCCCCTCCGGCCAGCCCCGCCCCCACATCCGGGTCCCCGCCCGCCCCTGACTGTCACCGCGCGCGTTCTGCCCTTCCTTTAGGCCTGGCTTTGCTTGGGCCACGCCTACCCTGCTCGAGTTCAGCCCCTAAACTTCACACATCCTGGCCCTGAGGTATCCGAGGTCGTCCATACAGCTGTAGCTCGGCCAGCATTCCCCATCATCACACAATCCACCGTAGGCCCTGCAGCATTTTCCAAATTGCTCTCAGGCCAGACCCTCTCCCACTCCGCTAGGCCACGCCTCCGCTCCATGGTGCCTCTCTCCTGCCAAAGTTGGAGACCAAGGGATATTGATGATGATACTCTTTTATGTATAATGCCTGATCTATACCTCCTCCTGCAGTTGGAATTGGGAGACAGTAGCTTAGTCTAATCTTACCTCCCTTAACTCATCTTGCTGGTAACTCAGAGGTGGGAGTGGGAGTTAGAAACCTGAGTCTTGCAGATCTTCGGAGTGGAAGGACTTACCTCTGTTCTAGGCAAACTCTGATCCCAGCCTTATTCTATCCACTTCTTGCACCAGGAGGAACCGTCCAAGCCCAACCCAGACATGCTAGCCGTTGCAGAGTCCAGCTCCAGTGAGCCCGACAAGGAGGTGGATTCTCCAAATGTGGTAGCTACAGCCACTTTCTCCTCCATGGAGGAGCCAGGCCCTAACCCAACAACTGTACCATCAGAGTGGGACCATGGAGGACCTCCACAGCCGGTTGCCTCCCCAGCCCCAGACAGCTGCCAACCTGGCTCAACCAGCACAGGTGTGGGGACCAATGAGGACCTGAAGTTGCCCAGACGACGTCCACCACCAGGTGATCTGTGATGAGGCCTTCATAGGTCCTTTGATAGGCCTGAGATAGTGCAGGGTAAGGAATCACCTTCTATCCCATCTAGGATTCCGCACCATTTACTGAGCATCAAGTCTGTGTCAGCCGTAGCAACCAAACCTATCCAGCTTTTCCAAGCAATTTATTGTAATAGTGTGTGGGGGGGGGGACTTGTTCAAGGGTTTGGGAATGGGGGGGATCAGTAAGGAATAATTGATGACACCCATTTATCCTGCAGGGAAACAGATACCCTGCTCTAGCCCTGGCTGCTGCCTGAGTTTCCCCAGTATTCGTGATCTGGCACAGCATCTCCGTACCCACTGCCCACCTACACAGTCACTGGAAGGTAGGATGAGGGTTGGCAATAGTGAGACATGTTAGGGTGGAAGACAGACAGAGCCTCCCAGGGTCAGTCTTAACCACCCTCTCCACACCCGCCCTTCATCCCTACCAGGCAAACTCTTCCGATGCTCAGCCCTGAGCTGCACTGAGACTTTCCCCAGCATGCAGGAGCTGGTAGCCCATGGCAAGCTGCATTACAAGCCCAACCGCTACTTCAAGTGAGACCCTGAACGTCCCCCCTGTTGATCCCAGATTTTTAGCCCTCCCTAGTGTGCATGCAGGAGGGGTGGGTTGGGAAACCAGCCCCAGCAGTGCATGGAAGATCGATGTGAATAGGAGTGACTGGTTGAAGGCTCGGCTGGAGTGGTGGGGCATACATACGTGCAGTGCTTCTGTCCACCTCACTTCTATGGTAAACTGGCCACCCAAGTGAAGTCGAAGCTTGAGGCTCTGAGCTGGGAAGGTCCAGAATGATTGAAACTTCAGCAAGGGAGAGCATGTAAGGCAAGCTCCTTCACTTGGGCGTAGAGTCATGGAGATTATAACCTAGATTCCTCTCCTACATCTTGGTCCCTGGGGAGCAATAGCTAGGCCCCTTCCTGTTGCCCAGGAGACTGCAGCCCTATGCCTACCCCCAGGTGTGAAAATTGCCTCCTACGCTTCCGTACTCATCGCTCACTCTTCAAGCATCTGCATGTTTGTGCAGAGCATGCTCAGAGCCCAGCCCCGCCACCACCCCCTGCCCTGGACAAAGAGCCACCTGTGCCCGAGCGCCCCCCAGAGTCCGACCCTGCGTCTAACCTGAATCTGCCATTCCCACTACTTGAACCTTTCACCTCTGCCCCCTCTGGGCCCTTCCTTCCCTACTTGAACCCTGCGCCCTTTGGCCTGAGTCCCCCACGACTGCGCCCGTTCCTGGCTGCTGCTCCAGGACCACCAGCCTCCAGTGCTGCCATCTGGAAAAAGAGTCAAGGTGGGTATGAGAACCAGTTGCCTACAAAGCTGGTTGGGTCCACCCCTATTCTGAACTTGACCTGCCTCTTTCCTATAGGTGCTGCTGGAAGTCCCAGAAGACCTCAGGGCGGTCCCGATGCGCCCTCAGGTGCGTGCAGGTGACCACCAGGGTAGGGTGGAGGGGCCTTCATTCCTTTGCCATGTTCCGGCCCTGTGAATGCTCAGAAGTAGCAGTGCCTGTCCTTTAAAATACATGATTTTTACCTTAAAAATGACTGGCACCTATGCCTTCTCCTGCGCCGGCGTTCCTTTGTAAAAACTTGCGCCTTGTTCACATGAGTGGCCCTCTCTTGTGGAGGTCCAGGGATGGGAGCCAAACTTGGTGCCTTCAGTGATGGGCAATCAAGCCCAGGAGAAAGGATCCAGCCTACCTGGACCCTGGAAGCCGAGGGGAATGGACATAGGAAAGAATCTAATCTGCCTGGCCGACATCCACCATCCCTGGTAGAAAGGTCCTGTGGGGTGAAACCTGCGACTGACCGTGGCCTGCCCGCCTACCTGCAGGGTACGCAGGCCCCAGCCGCATCGTGTGGGAACACACACGGGGCCGTTACTCGTGCATGCAGTGTGACTTCTCCACAGCCTCACGGCCCACCATGACACTACACCTCCAGGACCACCGCCCTGGCGCCTCCACAGCCCTGGTGTCTGGGTCCCTTCCTGCTGACACCCTGGCCAGTAAGGCTGAGGAATGCTCAGGCATGGAGCCAGAGGCAAGGAGTGAGGCCCAGGTTCAGCGGCCTCCTCCCCAACTCCACACAAACCCAACTCCGTTTGCTCCTGGGGTGTCACAACTGTCAGTGGAGTAGCATCCCATTTTCTCTTAGATTTGAACCAGCCGTGTTGGGCTGGGTGAGAGAGCCTACAGAGAATTTTGTAATTTGAGAAGGGGAGGGACAATAAAAGAGGCAAGATGAGCTAGTCTATGATGTGTCTTGGGTCCCTTGCCCCTCAGATAAGATTGTTTTTTATTTGTGTGTGTGTGTGTACATGTGTGTATGTGTGTGTGCACACATGAGTGCAGTGCCCATGGAGGTCAGAAAAGGGTATGAAGTCCCCAGGAAGAGCAGAATGAGAGTGAACTCTTAACCACTGAGCCCTCTCTTGCCCTGCCCTGCCCTCCCCTTCCCTCAAATAAGCAGTAGGCTGCAACCTACTGGGGTGCTTATACACCATGGGAAGAGGACTTAGAATTGATTTTCACCTAGCACTCCTCTGTCACTGTCTATGTGGCACCTCAGCCCTGGAATCCAGGGCTCCAGCTCAGTGCCACCCCAGCCATCTCTAGGGAGGGGGAGCCAGTGTCCACCATTCTATTCTACAACTTCCAGAAAACAGGATAGGATTTTTTCAAGTGTTTTTCCTTTATTTAAAAAACAAAGCAAACAAACAAACAAAAAACAGGCAGAAGCAGGCAGATCTCTGAGAGTTCTAGGCCAGGCTGGTCTACAGAACTAGTTCCCCACAGCTAAAACGGGACCAGTCAGATGGTTTATCATGTTCATGTGCTTGCCCTTGTACCCTGATGACCTCCCATTTGATGCCACAACCCACAGTCGGGTGAAAAAGAAATCAACTCTAAAGTTGTCTAATGCATGGTTGCGTGCACCTTTAATCCCATCACTTGGCAGGCGGAGGCATTTGGATCTCTTTATGTTCAAGCTATGATCTAAGGATCTAAGTGGCAAGTTCCAGCTAGGCTACACAGTAAAACACTGTCAGGAAGAAGATGATGAGGGGGGAAAAAAAGCCTTAAGGTGTGGTGGCAAACTTGGGAAGCTGAGATGGGAAGAACTTAAAGAAGTTCAAGGACAACCCAAGCTACATAGCAAGACAGTCTCAAAAAAAAAAAAAAAAATGTTTTTTTTTATGTATCAAGGATTAGGAAGACAATGTGGGAAGCTAAATCTATCTGAGTAAGCTCTAACGTGACTTAGAGCCCCCTGATTCCGAGGCCAATGGGTCACATCAGCAAGCAAAGCCTTGGTGGCTGAGGTTGAAGAGGTGGACAGGGTGAACTTTATCCTTATCCTTTCAGTCTGCAGACCTGCTGCTGCTACTGCTGCTGGCTTCTGTCCCAGCTCTAGAGAGTTTGGGGTCCCTGTTTGAAAATGTACCAAGGACAGGACTGTAGCTCAGCACAGTGCTTGCCAAGCATGCACAAAGCTCTGGGCTCTAGCCCCAGCACCACATAAACCAGGAGTGCTGATGCAGGCATAGTTCAGGCATCCCCTCCTATCAGTCTTAGCACCCATGGAAGCAGTGGCCCCTCTGGGTAAAGACTCCTGTTATTGGACTGGAGAGATGTTATCCTAGATACAAGCAAGATCTGAGTTCAGATTCCCAGTATCCATTTTAAAACTGGGCATGGTGACAATGTGTCTGGAACCCACAAGGGGGTGCCTGTGGCAGAGACAGCCAGGTTCTGGGGTCTTAGTGGCCAGCCAGTCTAGCCAAAACAGTTAACAGTTCTGTTGAAAGACCTTATCTCAAAAGATAGTGAAGTGACTGAGGAGGGCATCCTATGTTAACCTGTCTGGTCTCCACAGGTGTAGGCATGGTTATGTATACCCCCCCACAATAAACATAAACACACACAATAAACATAAACACAGAATCTGTTCTAGTAGCCCACAGGGCTTCTCAAACCTCCCCATCTTCAGTGGCTATACTGGCCATACTCTTCATAGTTGCTTCTGGGAAACTTAAGAATCTGAAGAAAAACCTGAAGCCTTGGTCCCACCCCACCTTGTCCCACTCACCATTTTTATCCTAACTCTGAATCAGAATTATCCTTTGTCACCTCTTTGTCCTGGTATCTGCAGCCAAGACACCAGTCTCACCTGCTGAGCTGGGTCCTCCAGGCCCTACATCTTGTCACAGCCCTCCTGTCTTCTCTTTATTCAGTGTCACTATTTGTAGGATCTAGAGAATGAATTACAATAGCCACACTTTTGGTTTTGAATGAGTTTTGTTTTTTTTGTTTTTTGTTTTTTTTTTTTTTTAAGCCAAAGTAGCAAGTGATTAATGGGAAGAAGAGATAAGGCAGGCTATCAAAAAGAGTGAGCTTCAGGTTCTTGTCTCAAACAAGTTGGAAAATAGAGACACCTGGTGGCAACCTTTGACCTCTGCAAACACAAGCACAGATTCAAGCACCCACACAGATGCATACACCACACACACATACACACAGGATGTCATATGGCTCGCACTTTGGGGAGACTAGGAGATTTGGGAAATGTCTGCTCAGCGATTCTCATCCCAGGAACTGGATATTGGAGATCATATACCAGGAAACTGCAGAACTTCTATTGCATTCCATTCACTGCCCAAACCTCCCTGCTTTACACATGCCCAACTTTTGTCTTCGGGGAAAGTTTCCTGAACTGCCCTCACCCTCAACCCTGCCCTGCTCCTTCTGAACCCCTTAATACCTGACCTCCTCCTGCTCAAGCTGGGACCCTACAAGAGTTCTGTTCAAGATAGCCAAGAAACCGAAGTCTTCTTAGTGCCTCAGCTTTCCAGCAGGGAGCACCCCAGACTGTCAGTGTGAAAGATCAGGCGGCCCATGGACACGCGCCTGAGCAGCTGCTCAGAGCCGGAGGTTGACTTGAACAGACTGAACAACTCCTGGAGACTTGTCTGCAGTGCAAGGTGCCAGGTCACCGCTAGGCAATTGTCCACCAACAGTTTTGTCTCCTGAGAGATACCAAATTGCTTATCTTTACCCTGATTGGGTGGAGAGCTGTAGAGCATGCTGTGGCCCCAGATACCAGATATCAGCAACCTGGACTGCACTCCCTCCTTCAAACAACTCCTGACTGCTCCAGGCACATCGCGATCATTTCTTTGGTTTCTGGCTCCATAGCTCAGTTAGAGACACCTGGTCATTGTCATGCAAATCACAGAGTGGGGAGGCCTCCAGCGGCCATGGTGGGAGCTTACAGACCACCCTGCACATGCACCTGCCCAGTCCCCCCAGGCTCTACAGTGGTCAGCCTGAGGATCCCCCACCTGTCCTTTAGGCCTTTAGCTTATGCTGGCCTTGATTGCCTACGGTATGCTCTTCAGCCAATGTATGAGAGTGACAGTTGTGAAGCTGGTTCCCCACCACCACCACCTAATGTGTGTTTCAGGAATCAAACTTGGGTCAACCAGTTTCTATAGTGTCTTTACCACCATGACCCCCAGCAATCTCGCTGGCCCATTGTTTTCTGTTGTGAGTCTGGGTCTTCACTCAATTACCAGACCTGAATTGAACTTGTGATCCACCTGCCTCACCCTTCCTAGAAGCTGGGATTATAGGTGTGGCTTCTTATTCTTGCTTCTGACTCCACTCACTATGATTCTGGAAACTCACAAACCCAGACTTGGTTTTCCCTGTCCACCTTGGACTCCTGTAAAAGCTGATCAATCTCTGGGAATTATGACCCAATATGGAAATTCAGAGGCCTCAGAATTTTGAGAGGAGGCTGTCTCCCTGCCTGAGCATTCTGTTTAAATAAGCTCATAAAACCTCACCTGGTTCATTCCCAAGAGAACACCACCCAATGGCAGACTTGTCATTTTTAAGACTGGGTTTTACTATATATCTGTCTCTTGCTGAACTGGTGCTCAGTATATAAACCAGGATGGGCTTTCTGATCCTCCTATCTTACCTCCCAAGTGTTGTGTTTTTTTTGTTTTGTTTTGTTTTGTTTTTGTGTGTGTGTGTGTTTTGTTTTTTGAGACAGGGTCTATGTGGCTCTGTCTGTCCTGGAATTCACTTTGTAGACCAGGCTGGCCTTGATACATCTGCCTCTGCCTCTCAAGTGCTAGGATTAAAGGCATGTGCCCCCAAGTGCTGTTTTTTGTGGTTCTGAAAACCAAACCCAAGGCTTTGTGCATGCTATACAAGTGCTCTACCAACAGAGTTAAAACCTCAGATTTATTTATGCTATTTTGCTTCAACAGGGTCTCAACTTGTTTTTATTTTTTGAGTCTTATTATGTCGCTCTGGCTGCCCTGGAATTTGTTATATAGACCAGGCTGGCCTTGGGCTTACAGATATCTGTCTGCCTCTGCCCTCCCAAGTGCTGGGATAAAAGTCACAATGCCCTGCTGACAAGATCCCCACTTTGTAACCTAAGCCTGGCCATGCACTTAAGATCCTCTTGCCCTCAGTCTTCAAAGTACTAGAATTACAGATGTGTGTCACTGCACCTGGATGGGACATACACTTTTGGGGTTCAGTTTCTTTAATTTTCTGAATCAGGGTCTATGTAGCTTTGGCTTGCCAGGAACTCATTGGGTTTATTAGGCTAGCTTTGGATTTGTAGTGAACCCTCTATCTCTGCTGGGATTACAAGAATGCATCACTACTCCAGGGGCTTAGAACTTGTGCTTTGTGTGTCAGGGTGACTCCAAAGATGTCAACACATACTCACCCATGCACTGGAACCACCCTGCCACAGTCCAAATAATCCTCCTGCTCAGACCACACCCCAGACCGGTGAAGTCAGAATCTCTGAGAGATTCTTCTGTTAACAGCTCAAGAGATTCTATTCTGTTTCCAAACTGAGAATCATCTCTGTCATCTGTTGAGTGTTTTGTTCCTGTGGACTGAATCCTGCCTTCAGGGGTCTCTTTTACCTGTATCTACCTTGGCCTCTTTTAGGAGTTTCCTGCAACCCAGTTTTCAGATTTCTCTCCTCTCTACTTGCTTTAACCACTGGGAACTTGAAGTGTCCTTTAAAAAACCCATGCCTTCCCAGGGACAATGATATTCCCTCACCTCTGTGGCAAGTCTTTAATACCCCCCCCAAATCTGCTATCCCAATTGAGC